TATACAGATATACTACATTTTCTTTGTCCATCTGTCGATGGATTCTTAGGTTGATTCCGTATCTTGGCTATTGTAAATAGTGCCAAAATAAACATGGAAATGCAGCTATTTCTTGAATACAGTGATTTCCTTTCCTTTGGATACATACCCAGTAGAGGAATTACTAGATCATGCTATAGTTCTAATTTTAGTTTTTGAGGAACATCTTTACTGTTTTTTATAATGGCTATCCTAATTTACATTCCCACCAACAGTGTATAAGAGTTCTCCTTTCTCCACATTCTTGTCAGCATTTGTTATCTTTTGTCTTTTTGACAATAGTTATTCTATCTGGGTGAGATGATATCTCATTGTGGTTTTAATTTTTATTTCCCTGATTAGTGATGCTGAGTGTATTTTCATATACTTGTTAGCCATTTGTATGTCACCTTTTGAGAGATGTCTGGAAGTGATTTTAAAAAAAAAAGAGAGGTTACTTAAGATAAGGAGTTCCCGCTGTTATTCAACATTTAATTTCCACCACAGATATTATTTGAATGAAAGAAAAAGAGAGATGGATTTAGAATTCACTCATGCATATAAGGTGATTATTCTTCCAAACAAAGTTTCGTTTTATAACTTTCAATTTCTATTATTTTTATTTTGGGATATTGTATGACTTTTTTTTTTTTTTTTTTTTTTTGAGATGAAGTCTTGCTGTCTCGCCAGGCTGGAGTATAGTGGCGCGATCTCGGCTCACTGCAACCTCCACTTCCTGGGTTCAAGCGATTCTCCTGCCTTAGCCTCCCAAGTAGCTGGGACTACAGGCACGTGCCACCATGCCCAGCTAAGTTTTGTATTTTTAGTAGAGATGGGGTTTCACCATGTTGGCCAGGGTGGTCTCAATTTCTTGACCTCGTGATCTGCCAGCCTCAGCCTCCCAAAGCGCTGGGATTGCAGGCATGAGCCACTAAGCCTGGCATTATATGATATTTTTTAGAAACATACAATCACAATTCTCCATTTTTCTAAACAAGAAGCAGAATTTTAGTTCTTGTCATTTCTATGAGACAGTGTAAACACTGCTAAAATATTTTGAGGAACTGTGCTTAAAGTAACTTTTAGAAAGAGAGATTAAGGAATCAAATTTGTTACATTTTGGACCTATACAAATAAAGTAGGAAAAAAGATATATATGTGTGTATTTACACACACACAGACACATACACCCACACAGAAAGAATGAGGCTATTATTAAGGCAATCGATATTAATACTCCTAAAAGAGTCAAAATATTTAATTGTGTGGGAAAATTAAAATATACATAAAACCAAAGGATAAAAATAAATCTAAATCAATATTCAATATTGTTATATCTAAAACCAGGTATTTGAAATATAGATACTAAATTTTAGTTATTTGAAATAACCTAAAACTTTATTCATATAATAAAAATAATACATATCTGTGATTGCCTGTAAAAAATGTTGTCTATACTACACAGAAACTCTAAAGATCATTATTATGATAAAAGCTGATGACTACACATTTTAGATTTAGGATTAACTACGTTTGCTGCCCTTATAAACATAACTCAGATCAGCCAGGTTTAGTGGCTCAAACCTATAATTCCAGCACTTTGGGAGGCCGAGGTGGGTGGATCACCTGAGGTCAGGAGTTCCAGACCAGCCTGGCCAACATGGTGAAATCTCATCTCTACTAAAAATACAAAAATTAGCTGGGCATGGTGGCAAGCTCCTATAATCCCAGCTACTTGGGGAGGCTGAGGCAGGAGAATCACTTAAACCTGGGAGGTAGAGGTGGTAGTGAGCTGAAATCGTGTTACTGTACTCTAGCCTGGGCGACAAGAGCGAAATTCCATCTCGAAAAAAAAAAAACCAGACCGAAGTGGCAGGTCGGGCGCGGTGGCTCACGTCTGTAATCCCAACACTTTGGGAGGCCAAGGTGGGCAGATCACAAGGTCAGGAGTTGGAAACCAGCCTGGCCAATATGATGAAACCCCATCTCTACTTAAAACTCAAAAATCAGCCGGGCATCGTGGCAGGTGCCTGTAGTCCCAGCTACCCAGGAGGCTGAGGCAGGAAAATCATTTGAACCTGGAAGGCGGAGGTTGCAGTGAGTCGAGATCAAGCCACTACACTTTGGGCTAGGCAACACAGCAAGACTGTGTCTCAAAAACAAACAAACAAACAAGCAAACAAAAACCCACCAAAACAGAAACCACCCCCACCCCCAAAACAAACATAACTCAGATCTAATAATTTTTTTTTTTTTTTGTGACAGAGTCTGGCTCTGTCACCAAGGCTGGAGTGTAGTTGTACAATCTCGGCTCATTGCAACACCACTTCCCAGGCTCAAGTGATCCTTCCACCTCAGCCTCCTGAGTAGCTGGGATGATGGGCACATCTCTGTGCCTGGCAAATATTTTGTATTTCTGGTAGAGACGGAGTTTCACCACGTTGCCCTGGCTAGTCTTGAACTCCTGAGCTCAGGTGATTTGCCTGCCTTAGCCTCCCAAAGTGCTGGGATTATAGGTAAGAACCACAGTGCCCAGCCCAAGATCTAATAATTTCTGGTAAGTCCCCATTAACTAAAAGTAACTTTAAAAATCCTTTGGACTTACACTACCTGGTAGAAAGACCTAGAATAAAGCTGTAATAATCAAGACACTATGGCATGTGATGCAGGACAGAAAAACAGATGGAAGAGATTATAAAGTCCAGAAACAGATGCACACATATATAGTTCTTTGATTTTATGACAAAGGTGATCCTATAGAGTAGTACGGGAAAGAGTGGTGTTTTCAATAAGTTTTGCTGGATCAACTGGATAGTCACATGTAAAAAAAATAAATCTTGACCCCTTATCTCACACCATATACAAACCAACTCTAGTTGATATAAACAACCAAATGGAAGACATCAAACAATATAGCTTTTTTTTTTCTTTCCAAGATGGAGTCTCACTCTGTTGCCCAGGCTGGAATGTGGTGGCGTGATCTTGGCTCACTGCAGCCTCCACTTCCTGGGTTCTAGTGCTTCTCCTGCCTCAGCTTCCTGAGTAGCTGGAATTATAGGCATGCACCACCACACCCAGCTAATTTTTGTAGTTTTAGTGGAGACAGGGTTTCACCATGTTGGCCAGGTTGGTCTTGAACACCTGACCTCAGGTGATCCACCCGCCTCAGCCTCCCAAAGTGCTGGGATTATAGGCGTGAGCCACCATGCCCAGCCTACAATAAAGGTTTTGGAAGAAAGCATAGGAGAATCTCTTCATGATCTGGCTTGAGCTAGGCAAAGATTTCTTTAATAGAATTCAAAAGTACTAATTATTTAAAAAATTCATAAATATGACTCCATTAAAATTAAGAACTTCTCATAGAAAGATAACATTACCAATGTGAAAAGGAAAGCCACAAAGTAGAAAATTCTTGTAATACACACATCCACCAAAAATTCTATATTCAAAACATATAAAGAAATCCTTTAAATCAACAATAAAAAGGCAGACAACCCCTTAGAAAAATGGACAAAAGTCTCAAACAGGTACTTCATAAAAAAGAATATCCAAATGTCCACTCAACAACTGAAAAGGTCCTCATACTTCATTAGTTACTAGAGAAATATAAATTAAAATCACAATGTGATACCACCACATATCCATCAGAAAGGCTAATTTTTTTTTTAACCTGTGGCTTGTTGTGCATGTTGGTTACATGAGTATTTCGTTTTATGAAAATTTATTGACCTATACAATTACAAATTGAGTACTTTTTTGTTTGCATGCTACACTTCCATAGTCTGCTTAAAAAACAAAGCCTTTCAATATATATGTATATTTTTTGAGGCAGGGTCTTACTCTGTCACCCAGGCTGGAGTACAGTGGCATACTTACGGTTCACTAAAGCCTCAACCTCCTGGTGAAGCTAAAGTCTCACTAAAGGCTCACTAATGCCTCTACCTCAAGTGATCCTCCTACCTCAGCCTCCCTAGTAGCTGAAACTACAGGTGTGTACCACCACATCCTGCTAATTTTTGTATATTTTGTAGAGGTGGGATTTTGTCATGTTACCCAGGCTGGTCTTGAACTCCTGGGCTCAATTGAGACTGCTGTCTTGGCCTCCCAAAGTGCTGAGGCTATAGGAATGAGTCACTGCATGTGGCCAACAATTTTGAACATCATCTTTTTGTTGTTACTGTCCCCAAAGATTTTTTAGAGAATAAAAACAAAATATAATGTGAAATTTTATGAAGCACCATCCAGAGTCTCGAGGCATAAAAGAGGATCCTCAACTATATTTTCATTTCCTATAATCCTAAATCTTCTGAATTAAAATAACTAATTACAGGCTGGGTGCAGTGGCTCATGGATGTAATCCCAGCACTTAGGGAGGCTGAGACAGGTGGATCACCTGTGGTCAGGAATTTAAGACTAGCCTGGCCAACATAGTGAAACCTCATCTCTACTAAAAATATAAAAACTAGCTGGGTGTGGTGGTGTGGGCCTGTAGTCCTAGCTAACTAGGAAGCTGAGTCACGAAAAATGCTTGAACCTAGGAGGTGGACATTGCAGTGGACCAAGATCGCACCGCTGCACTCCAGCCTTGGGGGACAAAGTACGACTTCATTTAAAAAAAACAAAAAACAAAACTAATTATAGAGAAAAACGTAAAGAAATATCTAGGTAAGTGATAAACGATGCCAGAAAAATTAAGGACTATAAATAAATATGATAAAAATATATAGTAGTACTGTCCTTGTAATTAGTTTTGTAATATAACAAGATAAAAAAATTAAAATTAATTAAAAAGAAACAAACGTGGTAAAACAAAGTTTCATAATTCAGTATTATAGACTATAACCTTATAAAATATATATGCTATATACTACATTGCCTGGCAAAATCAAGCTGTTTTACCACTCACCATTACATGAGCTATAATTGTTCAATATTTTAAAACACATTCCAGTTAGAAACCATTTTTCTTTAATTTTACTTACTCAGTGTATTGTGGCCAGTGTGAATACCTTGTATAACAGATGTTCTGAGTAGCAATTCAACATCAGAACCTATTTTCATTAGCTGTTAAGAAAACCAGACAAATAGATTAAGTCGTTTGGGTGTTTCATATGGATGTACTGTTTTTGAAAATGATGGTTTTACTATAATTTCTTTTCAGGTAATACAGTAGTTTCTCCTTATCTACAGTTTCAGTTACCCGTGGTCAACTATAGTCTGAAAATATTAAATAGAAAATTCTCCAAGTAAATAATGTATAAGTTTTTAATCACATGTGACTCTGAGTAGCATGATGAAATCTCATGCCATCTGCTCCACCCTGTCCGGGATGTGAATCATTTGTTTGCCCAGCATATCTATGTTGTATACACTGTCTACCTGTGGTCCTTTAGTAGCCATCTCAGTTATCGAGATTGACTATTGTCACACTGCAGTGCTTATATTCAAGTAACTCTTATTTTACTTAATAGCTCCAAAGCATAAGAGTACTATGGCTAATTTATAAATTAAACTTTATCATAGGTATGCATATATAATAAAATGTAGGATTTGGTACAGAGATTTGAAGCATCCACTGAGGATTTTAGAATTTATCCTCTAAGGATAAAGGCGGACTACTATACTGCTTTTAACTTTTTTACCATTACAGGTAGCATAGAAAGCTCAGATATGCATATAGTTTTAACTTTTATCTATCAATTCTGTATTTTGTTCCAAAACAGATTTAGAGTATTTTTTGTTACAATGCGTATTTTTAAGTGTGTGTAAGATGAACATTTTTGGAAGGGCAGTTGAATCTTTCTTTTATAGAGTTAGATGTTCAGAACACCTGAATTCCAACTATGGCTCTATCATTAAGTGTATGGCCTTGGGTTAATCCCCTACTCTCTGAGTTTCAGACCTCATCAAATACTATGTACTTGGGAGACTTTGAGGACCTTTCCGGCATCTGTAAGGTCAAAATTATTTTCAAAACACTATAGTCTTCTGCATGGTTTGAGTTGTGAGCAGTAGAGCTTTCTCCATCAAAATACCATTCTTTATTTGACAGAACCACTGACAAATTAAGATTATTCAGACTTAGCTATTTAGCAAACACTTTTTGAAAAAGTAGAATGTGTCACTTCAAAGAAAACAACTGACAGTATTTGCTGACAAAACTGAGGCTTTCAAGCAAAAATCAGAATTCTGGAGAACTTGTATCTGCCAGGGTAAGCTTGATAACCTCACAATACTTAAATATTTTTTTCTTTCTTTGTTTTTGAGACAGGGTCTTGCTCTGTCACCCAGGCTATCATAACTCACTGCAGCCTTGAACTCTTGGGCTCAAATGAGCCTCCCACTTCAGACTCCAAAAGTGTTGGGACTACAGGTGTGAACCACCATGCCCAGACTTAAAGATTTTTCTGATGTGATGGATATTAGTATTGATAGATGTAATTTAAAAATATGTAATGAACTATGTCAATATCTAGAATATCTGTAGTATTTACTGAACTTGTACTTTCTAAATCATTACTGCATGATGTTACAAAATCATGCATAAGTAAAAAATCCATTCACAGGGAAATTTCTATTAAAGTCCATTAGTCTACCTAAATGAAGCTTTCAGGGCACATGAGAGAATATCACAAGAATAGGCAAAAGCATAAAAACCCTTAATGAGAAAACTTCTTGGTAAATTCACGGACCGTCAAAGAAGGTGCTGAGATTGGAAGAGTGAGGGGTATGTGGTTCAAGTTGAGGTGGGAAGGTAACAAAGGTCAGATGACAGACAGTCTTGTAGCTCATGTTAGGCACTTTAGATTTTTCTTCAATGAGATGAAGAGTCATGGGGTTGTGAGTAGTAGAGTGCTGAGATATGCCTTTTAAAATGCTTATTCTGTCTTTAAAACTACTGAGAATAGGCTGTAGGGAGTGAGGCTGGAAGCAGGAGGCGGCTGTTGTAACAAGAGAGATGATGGTGGCTTGGACTCGGAGATAATAACAGGGAGGATGAGAAGTAGTTGAGTTCTGTATATATTAATATTTTGAGATTTAAGCCAACAGGATTTGCTATCAGACTGGATATAAGTGTGAGAGAAGGACAGCAGTCAAGAAAGCACCAAGGTTTTTAGTCTGAGCATCAAAAGGAAAGCTGGAATTAACTGCCATGGAGATGGCTGTGGGAGAGCAAAGCCTCACCTCCTGACACTGGGGAAGGGGCTTAGCAGGGAAGAGAAGGAGAAAATAATGGGTCTCCTCACCCACTGGAGGTAAATAAACTGAGTCAAGTCCTAGATACAAGGCTGGAAACAAGGCTAGTTGAGGAATAAGGGACTGGGGGGGACCAGAGATGATGAGGAGAAGGCAGTCTGTATGAATCCTGGACCACCCACCTCAAAAAAAAATTCCATTGGTCTGACAGATAGAGTTCTGCATTGGAACTAATCTTCAAGAAATTACCACACGTCAGGGTATATTATTAAAAAATATTCATAATTATATGGCTTATGCCTGTAATCCAACACTTTGGGAGGGCAAGGCAGGAGGATCACTTGAAGCCAGGAGTTTGAAACCAGCCTGGGCAACAAAGCAAGACCTCATCTTTACCAAAAAAATAAATACAATGAAAAAAATCACAATTACCTAAAAGCCTGTTCTATACTTCTACTCTTTTTGAACTACGTATCTGTGTGAGGCTGAATTTTTTTCATATACTTCAACCTAAAAAACATGTTGCAGGGGGCCAGGTGCAGTGGCTCATGCCTGTAATCCCAGCACTTTGGAAGGCTGAGGTGGGTGGATCACCTGAGGTCAGAAGTTTGAGACTAGCCTGGCCAACATGGCAAAACCCTGTCTCTATTAAAAATACAGAAATAAGCTGGGAGTGGTAGTATGCGTCTGTAATCCCAGCTACTTGAGAGGCTGAGGCCTCCCAAGGAGAATCTTGAACCCTCTTGGGTTCAAGGAGAATCGCTTGAACCCAAGAGGTGGAGGCTGCAGTGAGCTTGGATCATGCCACTGCACTCTAGCCTGGTCAACAAGAGTGAAGCTTCGTCTCAAAAAAAAAAAAAAAAAAAAACCCAGCAAAAAACCAATACCATTCTTCTCACTAAATTTTTTAGAATAGTTATTTTTCATAAATACTATGTTACTTATTAATATATAAGAAATTATTATTTTAAAATCAATTAATACATATTTTAAAGATGTCTCAGTTTATATTTCTAATATGGTAAATATTGATATAAACAAAAGCTTTTTGGGGTCCTCAATTTTTAAGATTGTAAAGGTTCTTTGAGACCACCAAGTTTGAGAACTGCTGGTCTAGAGAGGATGCCTGACTCCTTTTTAGTACCAAGACTCTATCAGCCCTCTAATAACAACGCAATTATTTAAAAACTACTAAAATCTTAATATTTCAGAGTTGCAGAAAGTACAAATATACATTTGTATATAACAAATATGTAGCCGGGCGCGGTGGCTCAAGCCTGTAATCCCAGCACTTTGGGAGGCCAAGGCGGGTGGATCACGAGGTCAAGAGATCGAGACCATCCTGGTCAACATGGTGAAACCCCGTCTCTACTAAAAATACAAAAAATTAGCTGGGCATGGTGGCATGTGCCTGTAATCCCAGCTACTCAGGAGGCTGAGGCAGGAGAATTGCCTGAACCCAGGAGGCGGAGGTTGCGGTGAGCCGAGATTGCGCCATTGCACTCCAGCCTGGGTAACAAGAGCGAAACTCTGTCTCAAAAAAACAAATATGTAATTTCTAGATTGCTTAATGTTAAACTAATGCTCTGTAAGTAAAATGAATTTGGGAGATTGTAGTTCAATTTGCGAGACTGTAGTTCATTTTCCCAGACCTCAATTTACAAATCTTTAATCATAATTTCAAAATTAAAAAATAATTACCATATTGTTATTAATCAGTTTACTGAATAACAAACAGTACAAATTTCTTCATATACCTTTAACCTCCCTTCAAGTCATGACTTGATTATACTGTCATCTCTATGTCTGCTGTGAATAAAAATTAGATATTCCCTATTTGCCCTATCATATGTTTCAGCAAAATCTTTCTCATTTTGTTTATTTTACAGAGAGGGAATACTTAGGCTATCTCATGAGCTTCATTATTACAGGTATTTACTATTTCAACAATAGCACTTTTCTCCACTAAATATAAATGCATTTTTTTTAATTTGGAAATTACATTAAACATGGAAGAACTTCTCTAGTTTGTACCTTCCTTTGTACCAAATCAATTCTTGTAACCATAACTACCTTGTAAATTATTTTCCATTTTTTGGTTTTCTTCCTAAGGTTCCTTTCCTTACCTTTATACAGTTAGACACAGGAAGCTGAGGACAGAGATAATGTGTATATGCCAGAACACATAATATACAGGAAAAGAAAAATTGGGCATTTTTTTCAATCAACTTTTACTAGGAGTATTAGGGAGCTGAAAGAGTAGTGTCTGTACAGTGTCTTCAACTAGAACAAGTGACCAAAATGCAAATACAGAAAGCAAAGCAAGAACAGTTCATACTGTGACTGTTTATGTCATTGCCAAGATGGGATTAAAAATAAATATCTGCTTAGTTCAGCTAAAAGAGTAGAAGTTCCCTCTGTAATTCTGAGTTACTACATCACTCATTCTCTTTAGTTTCAGTCACTTGCTCTAGGTGAAGATAGAATTTCCATGGGTTTCTGGGTTTATTCAGCTGCTCTGGTTTTGACCATGGCTATTTCTATGTTCTGTTTATGGGGCACCTTGCTGTATTTTGGGTGCTGGCAGATGACCCTGACGAGGTGAGCCACACCAAATAAGTGAAGGTTACCTACAGTTGTGATGGCCTTAACTATCAAGAAATGTTTTTTATTTCACATAACCTCTCTATCCTCATCATTTCCTCTTTGTCAAAAAAATTGTATAAGTTTTGCTGTAACTGAAAAAATTACTGTACCTCTTCTATTTTCTTAGGAGAAGTTTCACTTTTATTATTTTTGAATTCTTCATTTATCTTTATTCTGGCTGCTACAAAAAGAAAAATACATATAGTTACTTGCTTTTGTAATCTATAATTCCTATCTCAATAATTTACATGTTATTAATTATGAATGGCTACTTCTCTAGTATAGAAAATAGTTTTGCCCTCATGAAGAACAAAGCATAAGAATAAGAAGTTTGCTGGGTGCAGTGGCTCACGCCTGTAATCCCAGCACTTTGGGAGGATGAGGTGGGGGGATCACGAGGTCAAGAGATCAACACCATCCTGGCCAACATGGTGAAAACCCATCTCTACTAAAAAATACAAAAAGTAGCTGGGTATGGTGGCATGCACCTGTAGTCCCAGCTACTCGGGAGGCTGAGGCAGGAGAATTGCTTGAACCCAGGAGGCAGAGATTGCAGTGAGCCAAGATCATGTCACTGCACTCCAGCCTGGCGCCTGGTGACAGAGCGAGACTCTGTCTCAAAAAAAAAAAAAAGGAAAAAAAAAAAAAAAGAAAAAAAAAAAAAAAGAATAAGAAGTTTATTAATGAAGTCTCTTGAAGGACTTTTGACAGGCTGACAAATTTGTAAGAAAACCTACTATAAACCTTTGGCACCCTAATACTTTTTCTTCCACTGATTTTTACTCTTAAATTCATTTGTATACCTATAGCTATTGAATTCTAATAAATCTAATGTTTTATTTTTACAAATCTAAGGATTTCTATTAAAATGCTTTTTTTAAGATGGTAAAATTCAATAATAGAAGCATGTTAAACTATATACATACACAAAGATTGGTAGTAAACAGGATATATGTGTATATATATAAAATTTTAAGTGTCTTGGCTGACATATAAATCGAGTGAAAAATAAAACTTTTGTTCACATATACCTCTGAGAGTTTGGTATCATCACAGTAGCCTACTTTGGTGGAATCTCACTGGCCCTATTGTGCTGCTGTGAGCATTTGATGGAACAATCCATATAGAGTGTTTAGCAATTATGCCACAAATTGTTAGCTGTCCTTATAACTATTCCACTTAAAAAATTTAAAGCAACAAAAATATTCCATGTTGATAATTACCATAAAAACTTTCTTCTATGTTGTATGTGTATATATATACATATATATGTTATATATATTTTTTTTTCTTTTTTTTTTTTTTTCAGATGGAGTCTGCTTTGTTGCCCAGGCTGGAGTGCAGTGGCACGATCTCAGCTCACTGCAACCTCTGCTTCTGGGTTCAAGCAATTCTCCTGCATCAGCCTCCCAAGTAGCCGGGATTACAGGTGTGTGCCATCATGCCTGGTGAATTTTTGTATTTTTGGTAGAGGGGGGATTTCACCATATTAGCCAGGCTGGTCTCTAACTCCTGATCTCAAGGGATCTGCCTGCCTTGGCCTCCCAAAGTGCTGGAAGTACAGGTGTGAGCCACCGTGCCCAGCCTAGTTGCATATATTTTAATATGTAAGGTGGTTTAGAGTTTGCACTTTTGTTTTTTGGTTTTTTTTAGACAGGGTCTTGCTCTGTCGCCCAGGCTGGAATGCAGTGGCACGATCTCAGCTCACTGCAGTCTCTGTCTCTCAGGTTCAAGCGATTCTCCTGCCTCAGCCTCCTGAGTAGCTGGGACTATAGGCATACACTACCATGCCTGGCTAATTTTTGTATTTTTAGTAGAGATGGGGTTTCACCATGTTGGCCAGGCTGGTCTCGAATTACTGACCTTGTGATCCCTCCACCTCGGCCTCCCAAAGTGTTGGGATTAGAGGCGTGAGCCACCACGGCCAGCCTAGAGTTTGGACTTTTGAATCAGACAGCTTAGGCTAAATCCCAGGTCCACCTCTTACTACGTATGATGTGGGACAAATATTTTCACATTTTGTCAATTTTCTCATTTGCAAAAACAGCCATTATAATAGTAACCATCTCACAGAAATGTTGTAAGAATTAAATGAGGAATTCATGTAAAGTACATACAATACATATATCTTAATCATTCAGAAATTATTTTTGACGAGTTACAAAAACGTAAATCCTTGGAAAACAGTGGGGACACTTTTCCTAGGTACACTCTTAAGGAGGTTTAGAAATGTATGAGGAGTGGGCCAGGCACAGTGGCTAACACCTGTAGTCCCTGTACTTTGGGAGGCTGAGGTGGGCAAATCACTTGAGGTCAGGACTTCCAGACCAGCCTGACCAACATGGAGAAATCTTGTATTTACTAAAAATACAAAACCAGCTGGGTGTGGTGGCACATGCCTGTAGTCCCAGCGGCTAGGGAGGCCGATGCAGGAGAATTGCTTGAATCTGGGAGGCAGAGGTTGCGGTGAGCTGAGATGGCACCACTGCATTCCAGCCTGGGCAAGAAGAGTGAAACTTTGTCTCAAAAATAAACAAACAAATAAATAAATAAAAATAAAAAATAGAAACGTATGAGGAGTGGAATTGAACATGACTATCACAGAACCTAAATTTCAGAGCCTGTGACTTCCAGGTAAGATAGAAATTACCTAAAACAGTGAGATACTGAATCTGAAATCATTTGGGATGGCTTCTCTTTTACAGCTGCTCTTTTAGACTGACATAAGACATAACAACATGGTAATATATAGTCCTAGAGAGTGTGAAAATTTGATTATGTAACAGAAAGTTCAATGACTTGAATATAAGGCAGGCAATGGTAAACACTGAAATTCTGGTCCCTTGCCTTTTAACTGACTCTTTATGAAGACTTAATCTTTAAAAATTTTTCTTTAAGTAGATATTCCTCAAATAAGTGTAATATAGCTGGGCATGGTGGCTCACACCTGTAATCCCAGTACTTTGGGAAGCCGAGGTGGGTGGATCATGAGATCAGGAGATCGAGACCATCCTGGCTAACATGGTGAAACCCCGTCTCTACTAAAAATACTCTACTCTGTAAAAACCCTGTCTCTACAAAAAATTAGATGAGTGTGGTGGCGGGCGTCTGTAGTCCCAGCTACTTGGGAGGCCAAGGCAGGAGAATCACTTGAACCTGGGAGGTGAAGGTTGCGGTAAGCGGAGATCATGCCACTGCCCTCCAGCCTGGGAAACAGAGCAAGACTCTGTCTCTAAAAAAGAAAAAAAAAAAGTGTAATATAAGCTAATCTTTATAAAAGGATATTAGGGAAAGGTAGTGAAGGTCATTCCCTAAGATGGGTCTTAACCACACAGGGTTTCTCAGATAGATGAGTAGTCATCTAAAAAGCAGACTGGCTCCAAAGAGGTAAAGAACATACTTACCTTCTAATGCTCTGGCATCATTTCTAAAAACTTGTTGTCTGGTCCTGTGCAGTGCTTTAAAGAGCTGTAAAACCTGTTAAGAAAATCAGAATTCAAGGCCGGGCACAGTGGCTCATGCCTGTAATCCCAGCACTTTGAGAGGCTGAGGTAGCAGGATTGCTTGAGTCCAAGAGTTTGAGACAAGCCTGGGTGATATGAAACCCCATCTCTACAAAAAAAAAAAAATTTTTTTTGAGATGAGTCTCACCCTGTTGCCCAGGCTGGTCGTGATCCCAGCTCACTGCAACCTCTGCCTCCATGGTTCAAGCAATTCTCCTTCCTCAGCCTCTCGAGTAGCTGGGATTACAAGTACAGGCCACCACGCCCAACTAATCTTTATTAGCGATGGGGCTTCACCATGCTGGCCAAACTGGTCTCGAACTCCTGACCTCAGGGCAATCCGTCCGCCTTGGCTTCCCAAAGTGCTGGAATTATAGGCGTGAGCCATCAAGCCCGGCCCTTTTAATTGCTATTTCATAAAAGACAAGTGAAATGTTGAGACTTATGAATATTCTGAGCCTGTATTTTTTTTTAAAAAAAGAGAAGAGATCCTGGCATTTGGTAAAAGACAGATTGTGAAGAGGCTTTAGTGATAGGCTTAGGTCACTTCACAGTTCTCAAGTCCAAAAAAGTACTCAATACTATTCTCCAATATTGCTCTTCTCCACTATTCTCTATTTTAGTTATTGGAGGCCACCAAGTTTCTGAAGCCAGAAATCTGTAGGTCATCCTTTTAATCCAACTTACTCTTCTTGTGGAAACTTTAGGAATGTCTCTATAATCTTTCTCACATCCTCTATCAACAAAACTACTTACATTCAGATGTTCCCCATCTCTTAGACTACTTTCAAAGGTTTGTCATTTTGCCACCACATCCTCCTCTCCTCCAGTCTGTTCTACAAATAATTTCTAATATTTACTAAGCACACTGTGTGCTAGACACCATTTTAAGTGTTTTACATGTATTAGAAAACCTATAACATAAAAGGCAGATGCAAAAACAGAAACAAAAGACAGAGCAAAAAAACTTTAAAAATAGAACAAAAACCAAGCAGCCATAAAAAACCTTCTCAAAAATATGTTATTGCAGAGATGGAATAACATCCATGAAAAGCTATAGTAAATTTAAAAAGGAACAATCAGAAAACTCCCAAAAGCACTTGGCTATCAAACAGGTGAGAATAAGGATTAAGTAAGAAAAATTGCCCAGAATATAGAATAAAAGTTTAGAAATAGAAATTATGGAGAGGAAAGATAAGAAAATTAAGGAGAAGGCCCAACAGTTAGATTAGCAGAAGGGCCAACAAAAGAAAAAAGAGAAAACAGAGGAAAGAAATTTTAAAAATTTCACTTCATGTTTGGGTAAAAGGGAAGAACAAAAATTTCACTAAATAAGGCACATGAGTTACAAGATAGAAAGGGTTCCACCAAGTGCCCAACATAAAAGTTATACCACAGCACAGCATAATGTAAGTTCAGTGTGATGCTGATAATGATAAAATCTCAGAGAAAAAACAATTCACATGTAAAGAAAAAAAATCAGAATGGCAACTGATTTCTAAATAGCATCACTGTAAGAAAACAGTGGAATAATGAATATTATTCAAGTTTTGAAAAAATGTCTGCTTTAGAACACCATAGATACTCAAACTATCACTCAAAGACAAGGGTAAATACATATTTTCAGAAACACAAAGTCTCTTATCTGTCATACACAGTTTATTGGAAAGCTACAGAAGAACATACTCCACCAAAATAAGGAAATGAACCACAAAAGGAAAAGACATGGGAACCCAGGAGACAGGTGGTCTAATGTGGGAGAAGCAAAGACCACGGGGAAGGAGAAATGTTAGTCAACATTTGTGCAGCCAGACTAGAAAGCAACTAGTCAGGACTATAGCAAAAGGCTGAATTGCTCCAGAAAAGGTATTGCTAGGAAAAATGAAACTGGCAGGCTCTTTTTGTCTAGAATTTGGAAATAGATATCTAGGGTATCTATTAAAGAATATTTTTAAAAAGTAATAATTTTTAAAAGGCAGTTATTAATTTAAAGATGAAGAACTGGGAAAAAAGACAATGTAATCATATATAGTACTAAAGGGCTCAGCTGTGGGTAATTTTTATAGTAATAACATCAAAGATAAAAGCTAATTCACCAATATTTATATACTGAAGAGTTAGTGAGTAAGGGGGAGCTAGTCCTCATCTTCCATAGTTAAAAGTCGATAAATATCTCTAAAAAGAAGTGCCAATAAATAGCAGTTTAAATATGTTATTTAGAAACATTGAGATAAATTCCACAAGAAATAGCTAAAATGATTAAAAGTGCTTATCACTAAGAAGCAGGAATTGAGAGTAGGTAGAAGGAAATAGGCACCTAATGGTTTTCTATGTAACATTATTTGACTTCTTAAACTTTATGCATTTATTATACTTATAAAAATTTATATTATAAAGAGAAAGGGAAAGAGCATTATCAAAACAGGAAAAACACCCTTTTGTCTTTGGGTCAAAGAAGAAAAGAAAAAAGAAAAAACCTCACAGATGAGAGCATCAAGAAAACTTGGGTAAAAGAAAAAAAATCCCACAGAATGGAAGAAAATGTTTGCAAATCATATGGCTGATAAGGGCCTAGGATCAAGAGTATATAAAGAACTCTTACAACTCAACAGTAATAAAATTTTTAAATCCTAATATAAAAATAGGAAGACATATATGACAAACCCACAGCCAACATCACACTGAATGGGGAAAAGTTGAAAACATTCCCCCTTAAACCTGGAACAAGACAAAAATGTCCACGCTCACCATTCCTAGTTTACATAGTGCCAGAAGTCTAGCCAGAGAAATCAGGCAAGGAAAAGAAGTAAAAGGCATCCAAACTGGAAAAGAGAAAGTCAAATTATCTCTGTTTGCAGATGGCAGGATCTTATACCTAGAAAACCCTGAAGATTTCTCCAAAAGACTTTTAGACCTGATAAACAACTTCACTAAAGTTTCAGGATACAAAATTAATGCATAAAACAGTTGCATTTCTATATACCAAAAACATTCAAGCTAAGAACCAAATCAAGAACTCAATTCCATTCACAATAGCCACAAGCAAACACACAATACTTGGGAATTCATTTAACCAAGGAGGTGAAACATTTCCACAGGGAGAACTTCAGGACACTGATGAAAAAATTCATAGATGACACAGACACATTGGAAAAACATTCCATGTTCATCAACAGGAAAAATCAGTATCTTTAAAATGACTATGCTACCCAAAGCAATCTACAAATTCAATACAATTCTCAAATTATCAATGTCATTTTCACAGAATTAGAAAAAAAAATCCTAAAATTCGTATGGAACCAAAAAAGAGCCTGAATAGCCACAGCAATCCTAAGCAACAAACAAACAAAAAATAAAGCTGAAGGCATCACACTATCTGACTTCAAACTATACTACAAGGCTACGGTAACCAAAATAGCAAGGTACTATGCAAAAATAGACACATAGATCAATGGAACAGAATAGAGAACCCAGAAATAAAGCCACACACCTACAGCCATTTGATCTTGAACTCAGTGAACAAAAATAAACAATGAGGAAAGGACATCTTATTCAATAAATACTGCTGAGAAAACTGGCTAGCCATGTTTAGTAAAAAGAAACTGGATCCCTATCTCTCACCATATACAAAAATTAACTCAGGATGTATTAAAGACTTAAATCTAAAACCTCAACTTATAAAAACCCTAGAAGAAAACCTAGGGAAAATTCCTCTGGACATTGGCCTTGGTGACTAAGATTTCAAAAGCAAATGCAACAAAACCAAAAGTAGACAAATGAAACTTAATGACACTAATGAGCTTCTGTGCTGCAAAAGAAGCAATCAAAGAGCAAGCAGACCACCTACAGAATGGGAGAAAATATTTGCAAACTGTATATCCAACAAAGGACTAACATCCAGATTCTATAAGGAATGGAAACAAATCAACCACAAAAAATTCCAAACAGCCTCATTAAAATGTGGACAAAAGACAAAAGGAGACATACAAGCTGTCAACAAACAAGGAAAAAAAATGTTTAACAACACTAATCAACAGAGAAATGCAAATGAAAACCACAAGGAAATACCATATCACACCAGCCAAAATGACCATTAAAAAGGAAAAAAACAAAACAAAACAGATGTTGGGCATGGTGGCTCATGCTTGTGGTCCCACCACTTTGGAAGGCTGAGGCTGGTGGATCACCTCAGGTCAGCAGTTCAAGACCAGCCTGGCCAGTGTGGAGAAACCCCATCTCTACTAAAAAAATACAAAAAAATTAGCTGGGCGTGGTGGTACCTGCCTATAATCCCAGTTACTTGGGAGGCTGAGGCAGGAGATGCTTGAACCTGGGAGGTGGAGGTTGCCGTGAGCCGAGATCGTGCCATTGCACTCCAGCCTGGGCAGTAAGAGCAAAACTCTATCTCAAAAAAACCCAAAATGAAACAAAACAAAACAAACAGATGTTGGTGAGGATGCAGAGAAATGGGAACACTTATACACTGTTGGTGGAAATATAAATGAGTTCAACCTCCATGGAAATCAGTACGAAGATTTCTCAAAGAACTAAAAATAGAACTACAATTCAGCCCAGCAATCCCACTAGTAGGTAACTACACAAAAGAAAATAAATGGTTTTATAAAAAAGACACCTGTGCTCATATGTTTATTGCAGCACTGTTTACTATAGCAAAGTCATGGAATCAACCTAAGTGTCTATCAACAGCTGATTGGATAAAGAAAATGTGGTGTGTGTGTGTGTGTGTGTGGGCGCGCGCGTGTGTGTGTGCGTGTGTGTGTGTGTGTCATGGAATACCATGTAGCTGTAAAAAATGAAGTCACGTCCTTTGCAGCAGCTGCAGGAGACCGTTATCCTAAATGCCATAACTCAGAAACAGAAAAATCAAATACTGCATATTCTCACTTATAAGTAGGTGCCAAACAATGAGTACACATGGATAAAATGATAGAAGTAATAGACACTGGGGACTCC